GGTACTTTTTCAATTAATTAATCTTTAAGTAAGGTATTGTTTGAGGTAAAAAAATCGGTATCCCGAGCGGGATTCGAACCCCCGATGGTCGAAGGCGTCCAAATACGCCGCTGCTTTACTACTCGGATTTTCATTTATCGCCGAGAATCAAATAGATTACACATTTGAAAAATGGCAAAAAGGAGGGAAAATTAAAAAAAGGTAGATTGAGATGGGAAGTTGATGTCCGAACGGATCGAAGTCACGATAGCTCAAGTGGAATTGCAGCGGCGTTTTTAGCCGAAGGTCGTCGGTTCGAATCCCGCTCGTGACACTGACATTTTTATCTCAACCAATGCCTTAAGATTAGTTAATTGAAAAGAATTTTTTTTGGTCAATCGGACCACGAAACCTAATGGATTTAATAAAAGGTACCTATCAAACAATAGGTTTATACGCAAACCACAGAGGAAATCTCAAAATTGACAAAAGCTTGGGGACTTCGTTTTGCTTTTTGATATTGAATGCGAAAAGAAACGTAATTGGTACGTAATGAAGCACAGGGATTAGTTTGCCGAATTCCGACGACAGTGATTCTACCCTGGAAGTGATTTTTAGAGTTGTCACAAAAATTAGTTAACTGGCTATAAGAAACGAAGAATGAGGAGAAATGAATTGATCCCCTACTTTATTATTACTAAAACTAAGATAAAACAATACCATGAAATGCATGAAAAAGCATTTTTTATACCTGAGGCATCGTTCTTGGCAGAAAGATTGTTCCACAAAGCTGATATCGTCTTAAAACAAAACTAGATACAAATTGACAACAGACTTGGCAACCTTTTTATTTTTCGGATTGTAATGAAAGCGAAGGGAGTTTGCTTAACGCGGTATGTTTTATGTAGGTTAAATATATATTGGTTGATATTTATGAAAATAAATAAATAAACAGTTTTTTATTTCCTTCCCTTTCAAATTAAATTCTACAACTACCGTTGTCCTAAAAATTTAAATTTTAACCTTTTGTTTCTGTTCTGTGTTAAAGGGTATCGATACTTTTGTTTCAATACCGAATCCACCTGTTTTTGTTTTAGTTTTATGAGGTGTGCGGAAGTTTCATCATTCCTTCCGAACGCGAAGGACGAAACAATCCACTCTCCCTCACTAATTGCCGGTTTGTTCGAAGGAGTTACTTTCTTTCTCTTGAGCGATGAGTCTTCAGAAATTCTCATAGGAGACGTCAATGCGATTCCGAAGGCTTTCCCCAGGCAGAAATATCAGCCAAGGGTTTGAGACCGCCTGAGGACATGTTTCTGTGCCCAATACGCTTTCCATCCCGCCTTTTCCCAGGACCTACATCTTCTCAATAATTTATTCCCCTTTTATTGTTAACAGCCGTCGTGCCGTGCGTTCTCAAAAGATAAGGTTAAATATTCAACAGAGGTTGGAAAAAGTTTGATTCACTCCTACATGGGTTATAATTTATGCTTACACGACTTGATATAAAAATTGTTTTGAAGACCAAAAGGAGGTTTAGAGCTTTTTTTGTCAATCATTTCAGCCTTTGCTGTACATTTTTTTTCTATTTAAAATTTTTCAAATACTACTATTTAACATATTAATTATCTCACGTAGAAAAAGGTACAACAACGCGCTAAAGATATAATTCATTTAAATCTGAAGGCTTTAAACTAAAAAATTCAAAACTTTCTGTAGAAGGAGGGAAAATAATGATACACGCAAAACACAAAGTAGAATAAGCTCATCGACCTAAAAAAGTCTTATGAGTTGAACAATTTAATTTTTTGCCACTTTCAAAAACGTTTCTAACATAAAAAAGCCTACAAATCGGAAATGCAATCAATGATGATTAATTCAGTAATTAAGGCGAGAAATTGTCTTACCTTTAACCGATTTTAAGGTATAAAAGTAATGCTATTCCTAAACTATGTCTTTTTTGTAACGATTTATTGCTCTCAATGTGCTTTTATTTATTTTATACACAGCGATAATTTCAATAATGGCATTAAAACCGACTATAATATTACCGATTTTAATAAAAACTTTTTTCGAACTTTCTTGTAAATGGGCTTTTGGAGTAAGTGTTCTGCTTTTGTTGTGAGCATATTTAAAGATTATTTTACTACATGTCACCCCGAAAAAATATCGTGTAGTCTCGGAGGAGTGAATGCGGCCAGAATTCTATATTTGCATAGGGTGGTGATGTATATATATATGTATTGTAGGTTTTGTGTCCATTCTGTAGTTGACGACGTGAGGTGGAAAGGAGAGACTAGCATTTTACCATATCGACTAAGTTTTCATTCAAAAGTAGAGGGTGAATAATAGATCGAGACGCTCAAATGGCCGTTGGTTGAAAAATACACCTGAAAGACGAGAAAAAGAAGTAAAAAACGGAGAGGGCCGGCAATGACCTCACCTGTTGCGGGTTTTAAATATCCCACATTATATTATTACTGTTATAAATTAACTAAATAATAAAGAATAAAATAAAAACTAATATGCAAGATTTAATTTAATGCGATTAGATATATAAAAAGTTGCAAGAACCAAAAAACACTTCAAGTAACATAGATTTTAAAAAAATTTTTGCACAAACAAATTCTGATTAGTTTTAGTCACCCTGTTAAACCATAAAATACAAATTTTCATCGAAATAAAAAAAATAGACTTAGGTTAAGTTAGAAATTAGGTTGGATTTGCCAAGATCAAATTTCCTTCTCGACAATGTCCAGTGTTTCACTTAAAAGCGCATAATTCTAGATTTTGTCAATTTTCAACGATACTACAACCGTTTGAAAGAATATATTCCATATAAATATATTTATCTCAACTAAAAATCTTAATTAATTGAAAGATATTAATTGGTAAAGCGGACCACTTAAACTAGTGAATTGAATAAGTTAAAATGAAGTATATCTTCACTAAAGCTCTCCGTGGCCATTGCATTTGTCGCAGAGAATCAAATAGATTACACGACATTTGAAAAACGGCAAAAAGGAAGGAAAATTCAAAAGGTGGGGTTGAGATGGGAAGTTTCTGTCCGAGTGTCCGAGTGGATCGAGGTCACGCAGCTCAAGTGGTACAGCAGCGGCGTATTTAGCCGACGATCGTGGGTTCGAATCCCGCTCGTGACACTGATTTTTTCATCTCAACCAATACCTTAAGATTAGCTAATTGATAAGAATTTATTTGGTCAATCGGACCACGTAAACTAGTGAAGTTAATCTTATTAGTAGCACACTTTTGTTGAAAAACATTTATTTTTTTGTCAAATCAAAGACCAGAAGTTTGTTTTATTATGATATTGTTATATGGACTATTTTGACATGGCATAATGTTTTTGTTCATACGATTTCAGTTTGTACTTATTGCACTTCTGAATTAATTATTTACACGGAAAATATTGCAATTTTCTCTTGGCTCAAAAGGAAATATATAGCAATTCTACAGTCTCGACTAGGATTTTTGAGATTATGGGACAAAAACGTTTTCAATATACACCAAATGATGCTAAATAGGAGTACAAAAATTTAAAAATATAAATAATACGCTCACTTTATATAGTTGACAAGAAAATTCTTCCTTTCAAATAATAGTGAAGAAGACGAAGTATCTTTAAAATTTGTCTTTTATAATATATTATTTTTAATAGAATTTAACTATCGATTATGTAGAAAGCTGTGCTAAAAATAATACAAAAATGAAATTTTAGATCCCTGAAATATACCTGTAATTACGTATATATTTTTCTTTTTTAATTAAAATTGTTTGACAGTTTTATTGCTGATTAAAGTTACGTAGTCGAGCCTGTGCAATAATATATTGATTTTTGTAGAAGAAAATAAAAGTTTGATTGCTGGAAAGGTTTGTAAACTAGACTTATCTGTAGTTTAGAGGTTTATGTAAAATCCATCGAAGTATTTACCTGAATTTATTGTAAAAAATGCTTTAAAGGGTTTACTGTCTTTTGTGTTTTGTACATTTGTTAATAAAAATATTGAAATGGCCCAGGGAACAATGTAAATGCAGTGCAACAGGAAGTGCGAAGTCGTGGTCGCTTCTTGAATGAGGAAAGGAAACAAATATGAGATTTCATGCTTACAATGCAACTTACATAGGATGCAAATAACTTTCAACAACCGAGGTTTAACTAACAAGAGATTCGTTTCCTGGGAATGTTTTTGTGTATCAATCCCAGGACGTTCAATGACTCCTTGGTGTTAACATTCTACTACTAGCTCGCATTCTGCGGATTTTTCCGGAAAAGCGATTGGGTCGTTGGCGAAGGATTCCAAGTTAAACTCTCGCACCCTAAAAATCAAGGGAAAGGTTACTGTTCTTTTAGGTAGGTGGAGATAGGGCGTTAACGGATCCCGATGGGAAAGCGTTTCTAACAGTATTCTTCGTCTACTTCCTCTTAGCACCTTCTTCGCTAATTAAACTGTCAAATTAATAACTCCTTAAAAGAACAATGCTCTTTTAGACGTGTTTTCTCTCAAGCTGTTGTGAATTATTGTAATTCACAAATAACAATCATCTAAAACAACAAAGTAGGTCATATTGTTTAACTTTTACATACCTCATTCTTGTAAAATATTCAATTATAAAAATTAAAAACTTTCTATTCATCTCTTGTCTATTTGAGAAGTTTCTAAGCGAAATGAGCTAAATCATACTTCAACCTATTGACGCTTTGTTGTGCTTATTTGTGTACAATTCATTTTTATTGCAGACTTTTGTGACCAAGTCTTTCATGCAGCATAGCTTTCCACGAGTAAAAGGAAAGGGAATAAAGGCAAAAGAGAGTCGAACGGTATTGAAATTCTTTGGAATGCCCCGTAGATAAGCTCTCGCGTAAGTTTAACTGTCAGGTTGAGAAAAGGGCCTCATTTTTTCTACTTTTATGAAATGGAATTGTCAGTGATCAAAGGTGCTTTCTAGTTTATTACAGTTGGCATGCAGTGCTTAAAAAATTGTCTAGTTTTGTTACTAACGTGTGTCTTTACTTCGTGCGTCGGATATTCTTCCTCCTTGGTATTTTCTTTTCTCCTCGTTTATAATCCCTTTAATCACTTCTTTTTTCATCGTTAACGCCTTCTTGGTACCTGCGAGGAAGGAAACTTGTTTTTAATTTACAATTTGAAATGGCCTATTTAAAAAAAAATTAAAGAAAACAATGCGATTATAGAAGAGAATTGTAAGTCGTGTCTTTGAAGGGGAGGAAGTCCTTTCTCTAACGGTAGCTCCGTTGTTTGAAGAAAATCAATTATTTTTTTTGAGAAAGTCCTAAATCCAAGGAGACCAATTGAAATAACAGTCAAAAGATATATTGTTCTATTTTTTTTTTTCGACAAACCGTCACGACGTAGGAAATCTAACTGTATCCAAAGGTATTAAAAGGTTAAAACAAACTGGAGGCGATGTTCATTTATTTCCCGATGGTTGCTCAAGGATTTACAGGTTGGTAACACTTGCTTCACAGTAACTACTCGCTAATGGGATTCGGGTTCAAGGCAGTGTCCCAGCAAACCGGCTTAGAAAAGGTCTCGAACTAAGTCTTAAAAGGGCACTTGGAACCGATTCGCGCAACTTCTTAAAGTTTTTAAAAGTTCGATTAATAAAGATTCCGTTTCAATGATCATAAAGGTGCTAAGTAATACAGGTGTTTCTGTATTTAGAATAATAATCATAATAAAAGTTTAAAGGTTTTTATATCTGAAGTCATTTCACGCTCTGACGTCTTTAAAATTGTTACTGCCTTCATCTGAGTGCTATAAAATCCACTTTCTACCGTCTTGAAAGGAAAAGTACGTTGTTTCATCAAAAACATATTCGGAAGGACAGAAGATAAAATAATTATTTCATCAAAGGAAAATATTCTTCTTAAAGTACTGCTTGTTTAATCGGATAGTAAAATAAGACCTTAGAGTTTTTAATGGTAAATTCAACGAAAAGTTTAGTTATTTGTCATCAAAATTTTTCATCTCCAGTTATAAAAAATAGGCCGTTTTAGGAGGGAGTTGCAAATTGAGTCCAATAAACTTTTCCATAAAAGCTATAGCTCGGTCAAACATATCCACCTCCTAGATACGTTGAAAAGCTTGTGTCTCGTGTCGTTAAGTGTGGGTTATTTAAGTTAAAGCTTGAATTCGGTCATCATCACCAGTTGAGACGTCAACTGGTAACAGAAATCAAAGGGATATCCTAAAGTATCATCTTCATCTATCACCATCATCTTCAAGTATCATCACCATACGAATCACAAATTATTCTAGCTGTCAAAGCTGCGGTAATAAAACACCACTGAATGACAAAAATGCACTATTTTCCTTACAATGTAAATTAGGAAAATAATAGATCTCGAACGAAATTGACGAATAAAACAAATTTCAGACTATGTATCCAATAAAAATTGCTTCAAAGCACAAAAGATTGGATTGGATTTGTATGAGCTCGAATCTGCATGTATATGTACATATATAGTCAACCCCGTTTTATTTGGAAACGATAAACTAGCAAAAAATAGTCTTACACAAGCCCCCCAGTTAATTTTGGCTAAGAATCGTATGGTGGTAACAGATTTAACATAACTTTCTCATCTATCTGGGAAATGACAATGACTTCCTTATTTTAAAAGAGAATCCCATATTTTTATTGTACATTTCGATTCTAGAGTTTATTTTATGCCACTTTTACCGAAGGGAAAATTTTGATAGGTTCGACCATTTTTGAATTATGCCCGACGGAAGGTATGCTTTTTGGAATAACAAGATGGCCCACCCCCTTTATTTTGAAATTAATTTTTTGTTAATTTTTGTTCTAAAAAGCAAACTCCCCAATATTACACACAAACATAGATGTCTGGGCACATTCATTCCCTCAGAGTAGTCGATATTCCACTGGACGGGGTTGAACCCACTCCATTCTCGCTAATAAGTTATTTTTACTCCCCAGACGTCATGCATTCACCCGCTCATCAAGGAAATGATACTAACTTTGTTATTTTAAATGAGAAACCCATATTTTTATTGTGCTATTCGATTCTGGAGCTTATTTTCTGCCTCTTTTACTGAAAGGAAATTTTTGATAGGATCGACCATTCCTGAGTTATGCCTGTCTGAAAACTCGTGAGGGGGATATGCTTTTTGTAATAAGATGGCCCACCCCGTTTATTTCGAAAACGATTTGCTTTACAGCTAGGTCAATTCAACACCCAACACTTGCAGGTTCTAGATTCACATTGTCATTCAGTGCTATTTACATACCATCAGTCAATTGGGGGTGGAGAACTCAGTATTGTTCTATTATCCTTCAATTAACCTGATTGGGGGTCGATGGCGTACTCAACAATCATAGGCCGTCTCACAATACGCAGTGAAATTAATAAATACATTCTCCCAACACATGCAAAACTATTAATAAATACAAAAAAAACATGCTGACGTGCTCAAGCACAGTTCCTATAACGGAAGGCATTTCTACACGCTCACTATAAAGAGCCAAGGAGTTGCACTGTTCAATTAGGTGGGACAGATCGAACAACATTCATGAAAAAAACACAAGAGGGTCAAAACTGATTAATTTAATACTTTCTAACTCTTAGGTGATGTTATTTCAAGACTATAAGGCATTTTTTTAAAAATCAACTCCTACTCTAATTTCGAGTCATGCATGTCTTATTTACTTTCCAAAATCAAAGCAATTTCTATTTTCTAGATTAACTATCAAATCGTGCAAATAATTCGCGTAAAATGTAACGGGTTTAGAAAACTCCCATGCATGACTTTCACTAAGTTTTGTGTATCATGATTATTTATTTTGATCAGATCTGTCTTTTGAGAATGAAACAACCTGATTATAAAAAAAAATGGAATGAAACATTAAGTAAAGAAAACTTTGACAACTGGACGAAACGGATTAGTCCAAACAGGAGGACCTATCAGACAGGATTAAACAGGAAGGAAATAAGTTTAACTTTATTCATCGTCTGATAAATCGTGGAGCTCGGTTGTTATTAAGCCGATTAAACAGGGACCCGGCGCTAACGATATTAAAAGTTCGTGCACCGTAAAGCTGTTTTGTTCGTGTTTCAAATTAATTTCCTCTTTACAATGATGCACGTCGACTTTCGATCGGTGGATTGAAGTATTGGTGGTGGGCTAGCTATGGATATTAAGAGGGCGGAGATACCGCTTGGATAAACCTCTGGTCCACTATTAATACGTGATGTGCGTGTAATTATTGTGAGGGCCGGGGAGCCACCAAGGTCCTTTTTCTTCCATGCTTATAGGCCAATTTCGCTTCCTCTCCACTAGCCGGGGATGGTCTTCGGTTTCAAAAAGTGGCCTCAACCTGGCCGGTTTTATCAGAGTCGATCATCCTACAACGTCCTTCCTTTCTACTGCCTTCGAAAGTTTACAAAAAAAAATTCTCTTACGATTAAAAATATGTGAAAAACAAAAAGAAACAATATAAGATTTTTTCAAAAGATAAATACAACCTTATCATGACGTTCCTCTTGAATTTAGTAATGGACCAACAACACACGGCATCACACACTTTGCGGATGACATGATTAAAAAAAAATTATTTTGTGAAAGTTCTCATCTAAACATGCTTGCAAGAAAATACACTACCTCAGAATACTCTATATTCCTCAGGGTAATTGGGGATGATCCCCTCCATTCACACAAATAAATACATTCATTTCAATAAATATCACATGCAAGGTACAAAGATCTATTTAACCTATTTGCTGAATTTGTTTATGGTATATTTTTTATTATGATCTTACTCCATGCTCTTAACTACAAATTTTCAATAAATTTAGGAAAATCTGCAAACGTAGAAATATTAAGTTTCAATTGATTTTTTTGTATAGATCGTTTTGTCTTTCATTTTAGTACATATAATAAAGATATATCATATATTTTTAAAAGGATAACTATGCTTTCCATTTTGCTAAATTCAATTGTACACTTTAAAAAATTCATTAAAATTTTATTCAATTTATAGTTTATGTATTATCGTCTTAATATACAATGTTTTTTATTGTAGTTCTGATTTATTAATTATTGATAAAACTCCAGTTATCTAGCTTTATTAGTAAATCCAACTGCAACAACGTCATAGGAAAAATAAAATTCCAGTTATACAATTTTTTCTCGGTCGATTTATAAAAATGAAACCATCAGCAATACTTCTACGAGAACTCCTCTCCCTCTCCCTCTCCCTCTCTCTCCCTCTCTCTCTCTCTCTCTCTAATTAATTATTTATTGTGTTGGTAAAGATTTTAATAATTACCGGTTCTTACTTCAAACAATTTTATTTTAATTTTTCTTATAATTTCTCGTTGTTCTAGCATTTTCAATACATATCTTTATCATTTAAACAATTTTTGCATTATTAAAACTAACAAAGAATGAAAATATGTATTACATTTTCTAATAAATAATTTCTAATTGTACAATAAACAATAAGGTCAGTCGGACAACATGGAAGTACAAACCATAAACAATTAATGATTTTATTTTAAAATCAACAGCAGAAAAAGTCTCTACTTAATATAATCAAACTGCTCTAAATTTTCAGAAGATATCAATTTTTCAGCTATAGTCCAACTTCTTAAAACCTAAGGTTTAGTATGAAACCGATGACAAAATAGACAAAAAGTCTTCAAATAAAAAAAATTATATGGTTTTAAACATATTTTTAGAACTTCTGTACTCCTAAAACATAGAATCCTTCTAACTTCTTGATTGTTGATACTTAAAAGCTTAGAATAATCTCAAAATAAATACGCCCAAGCTAACCTGTTTTTCGAATACGCCCCGAGCTAACAAAACAACACCACTAAAAAATTAAAAGTACCAGAATTGGAGTAATTTAACGACAATAATCCTGCGACCAAGTCGCAATTACCCACAAGCGATATTTTACAATAATAAAGATTTCCAACAATCGGCATTGTGCAACCCCGTTCCAATTTTCTACATTGATTATTTTATTTATTTTGTTAAATGCCACGTCCTTACCTGGAAACCGAAGTCCCTAAAGTGTTTGAAGCCAGATGGGAGAAGACGAAGTTAAATTTTGTGAACTTATT